GTAAGGCTTTTGCGTTTCTCCGCTAGAGACGGAATCTGAAGGTAAGTAGGCTTAGGTAGGTTGAACTTTGGTGCATCCTGCTGTGTCTGAGATGTGATGTTGACTGGTCTTTGTACCTCTACGGGATTGGTGCGGAGAGTGAGCGCTCTGAGCTTGTCTGAAAGAGATAAGGTAAACTCTGGCTTCATCACCTCACAGCGTTGGCCTCGGCTCTGAATATTTTCCATTTGGTTGTTCTTGTTCTCACAGTGCACATTTGCTTTGGAATCCTCAGTACATCCATTAATAATACAGTTGTTGTCAATGTTGTTCTGAAGGTTCAGGTTAGTTAACAGTGCCACTGTGGAACTGCTGTTATTTTTTTCATTGGTGGGCTGTAGGCAGTTATCCAAAGGTTTGACTGACTGCTGAGAGTGAAGGTTTGTGTTATTATTCTTCAAAGAAAGCGTTCCCTGGAAGAGCTGCAGCTGCCCCAAGAAGTTAAAGTTCGGCGAAATTGTGGGTCTGCGTTCTTTCACAAACCTAAAGAAATTATCAGATCATGATAATTAGCTTATTTGAATCATCTGCATTCATGATAAAATGAAAAAACAAAACAAAACATGAATGGCCCAATGATACAAAAAAAGAAAAACAACGAAACAAATCATTCTCACTTTTATCACCAATTTCATATCTCAGACTTTTTTTGATGCTAAATTTCAGTTTTTTTTTTTTTACACATAAAATGGCAGTAGAAGTAAAACAAAACATATGCACATTACCTGTATGCATGATCCAGATCCATTTTCAGGCTATACATGACGTAAGCCACAGCAAGTGCTGGAGACCGAGAGATTCCTGCAGCACAGTGGACCAGGACTGAGCAGCCACATGACATGGCCCCATCTGAAACAGTTAATTTGTTTTATTAAAAATATTATACATGCAATTACACCTATAACCCAAATTTTCTACCAGATGCATAAAATAATGATCCGTTTTAAAGTAGCATGGTATTGTGTTTTTTGCACAGACAAAACAAATCTATTTCCATAGTCACAGCTCTGTGCATCCATGCTAGATATATTAATGATGTAATGCAGCTGGGATGCAAATGCAGGCTGATGTAAGCAGTGGGATTCCGGGGCCCTCACCAATGAAGTGCAACGCCTGAGGGATCCAAGGAAGCAGGTCATCCCGCAGGGAGTCGTCTATTGGGATACGGAGGTACTGGGACTGGGGCAGAAATGAAGGTTGTGGGCAGCATCGGCTCACACTTAATACGTATGAGATGCCGCGGTCGGACAAACCATCCTGTGCGTACGAATAGCGGGTGAGAGGTGAGAAAACAACTTCTGTGTTCTGCAAAATACGGACTAGAACAAACTATTGTAGCAAATATATATGCAAATAAACTAACTTACGTAGCAAATGTAATTTTATTATGGTTTAGGGAGGATTTTGTACTCTTTAGCATGAGGAATCATTAGAGAATTGTAAATATACCTGCGTTACGTCAGTCTCTGCACCAAGGTAGAGATGCGGCAGAATACGAGACAAAGGTGGCCTCTCGGACTGACTGTCCCTGTAGTAGACCATCTCTTGATTTTTTTTTTTTTAAGAAATAGTTCCTCTAAATATTTATATAATCCGAAAACCTATGGAGAAAAAAATACACTGCAAAATTACTGCCTGAGCCTATGACGCAATAAACACACACACACAGAGTCCTAAAAACAGGCCAAATTGTATGCCTAAAGTTTTCACGAATTGCATTTATCAATTGTAATATACAAGTTAGGCTTCTTCACAACAAACTAAAAGCTGGTACTCACCAGTTTAGTCAGTTATGGATCCGCAGAGTGCGTAGGAAATAAAAAAAAAAAAAGGTTGAAAAAGTCCAACGAAGCTGCTGGATGAACGTTGTAAATAGCACAAACAAGAGCAAGCCTGTATCGCGTGAAGTCTCTGTGTGATCTCTCTCTTCTCGGTAGCTGTGCTCCCGTGCTTCTCTTCGCTCTGTCTGCGCCTCTAACATTATTTGTTGTTGTATATCTATACCTGCGCGAGGGAGGAAAAAGATGAAGTCATCCAGTTTCCAGAAGCTAAAAACAGTACAATTCTATGTGATGTCATTTCCAGCCAATCGGCGCGCTCGGTTTGTTCGCCATCATCAGTTTGCCCTGAAGACCTCGGCATGTTTATTGTGATGAATCGTGTTTTACTCTCTGTAGCCTTTCAGACAGGAACACGCCGCTTACATTTGCAAATCGATTGTGCAATCCGTCAAACGAGACTTTTCTGTCCTTGTAGAGGTTTTTGTAAGACAGCTCGTGTGCAAAGTCCCATGCGAGCAGTGCTTCTCTTGTAAACAAAATATATTATTCAGAACGCTTAGTTCACTGGTCCGCATTTACCTATTGATATCATGTTTATACTATATTAAACAACTGTACATCAATGATGTCGTGTTTTTATCAGACTGTATCAATAAATGAATATTTTTAAAATCTCGCTTCAAAGGCTGCAAAACACAAACTCAATTGCAACAGACTTAAAATGAGATTTATGTTAATTTAATAAGATGAATTATTGCTATACCACCCTGGGTTACAAAATGGTGTTTTGCATTTTCTATTTAACAAATTAAGGAATAAAACTGCCATTTACTCTGATGGAATGAAATTGAGAAAGAAATTGCAAAGATATCATCTTGAATATCCTGCATATGTAACCCTGGATCGCAAAACCAGTCTTAATTTGTAGCAATAGCCAAAAACACATTGCATGGGTCAAAATGATCGATTTTTCTTTTATGCCAAAAATCATTAGGATATTAAGTAAAGATCATGTTCAATGAAGATATTTTGTAAATTTCCTACCGTAAATATATCAAAACTTAATTTCTGATTAGTAATATGCATTGCTAAGAACTTCACTTGGACAACTTTAAAGGTGATTTTCTCAATATTTAGATTTTTTTGCACCCTCATATTCCAGATTTTCAAATAGTTGTATCTCGACCAAATATTGCCCTATCCTAACAAACCATACATCAATGGAAAGCTTATTTATTAGGCTTCCAGGTGATGTATACATCTCAATTTCAAAAAAATTGACCCTTATGACTGGTTTTGTGTTCCAGGGTCACATATGGCTTCCTGGATAGATTAGGCCCACCTAATCATGAACTTGATATTCATTTGTATTTTTCACAGTATAAATAATCATATTTAGGGTGTCCAGAAATATGAGTTATACTGTGAAACAAATAACAGACGTAGAACATGTATATTTATTTTCTATTAAAATTGACACTGCATTTTTTTCAACCCACCATTACAGTACTGTTAGCTGTATAAATCCTAAAAAAAAAAAAACTATGGCTGACTAATTTCTAATCAGAATGAAATAGTTTTTTCTATTTCTTTTTTTTTAAATGACCGTTATGTTACATTTTTAAACCCATGTCATGGCCCACTTTACATCTTAAGAGATGGAGTTATAGGCCTATACCTTGTTGTGCTGAGAGACAATGACCTATTTTGTGCTTGGTGCATATGTGAGATCTAGCTGTCAGCCCACCTGATCTCTGTGCCCATCCCTACCACACACACAAAAAAGAAAACACCTGGTTCGAGTATATGGCATAAATTTACTTTCACATTATTCAGTACAGAGTAAATTTAATCTAACACAGGTATCTGACAGGTTGAACAGCGATACACCGGGGCTGCATTAGCTAGCGGATACTGCATAGACACACGCACACACAGAAACACACACACACGCGCCATGACTGTGACTCTAATCAACTACAATGACTATGTCCCCAGTACTACATCACTGCATCGAGGGAAGCGTGACCCCCAGCTGAACTAATATGACAATGTCGCATAAATTCCATTATATTTTTCACATGGATCACACAGAATAACACCACACACTCGCTCACCAAACAACGCTGACCAAACTCTTTATGATCCCTGTACGTGATTGACACTTGGCAGCTGCTTTGGTCCAGTGCGCCCCCTTAAGCCCCCGTCCTCTAAGCCTAAGAATGTGTGTACAACTGCGTGCCTGTGACTTTTCACAAACTAAGTGCTTTCCCAGGTTTTATCGCTGCAAAAGAAAATATGGGTCTCCAGCTGTGGCCACTCAAAGTTAATAGTGTGTGTGTGTGTGTGTGTGTGTTGTGTAAGGATTTAGTAATGAGGTAACCACTATCTACTATTCATTTCAGTCAATAACTGTGCTGGAAGATGTTGTCCTCCAGATGTTTTTTTTTTTTTTTTCAATATTACAAAAAAGAAAAAAGAAACAAAAAAGACATTTACATGAAGGCCCACAACAGTTGCAGTCTTCATGTGCAGAAACTCGCACACTGGCGGACCTGACCCTCCCTCTGCTTCATTTCCTCTTTCTGATTCTAGTTCCTGCCCAGTTCTTTTAACACTGTACGACTAACCTGAAACGTTATGCCCATTCACTCATAGTACAGAATGGAATGTCCAAAACAAGAGCAAAAACATTAGACCATTTAAGAAAGCATACAAACAGACAATATACCACTATCAAAAACAAGAAAGAGACATACAAATGCATCCATGAAGGGTAATCATTTACATGGTTTATATATATTTATATATAGAGATTTTTTTTTCAATAAACATTGTAAGATATGGTGGTCAGGACGAGTACTGAATACATAGGACAAGAACAGGAAAAAGGGGGTGGGACTATAAAAGCCTTTCCTCTCAAAGCCTCTTAAAGTGCACTGGCCATTTCTACATCGGAAGGAACGTACGTACGGTGCGATAAACTGGAAATGCATGTGGATTCTCTTGTTTTTTTTTTTTTTACATTTTCTATGTACACCAATGGCTCTGGATTTGACCGATTTCAGTGGAGGAGGAAAACGAGAGAGAAAGCAATGGGGGTTAGTGATTCTGGCCTCTTTTGGGGAAGTGCCGTTGCGTTAGTGTATTGAGATTGTGTTTTCTTGTCCTGCTAATAGTCTTATAGGGAATGTTCCAAAGAAACAGCTAATGTGCAGTTTTTGCGGTTGAAACTTTGCGGATAATACGGGAGAGAGGGAAAACTTGCTCCACTTCCATCTTTTTGCTTTACTTTTCTCCCTCCCCCCTCATCCCACAACACACACACACACACACACACACACACACAAGCACAGGAGTTGATCGTTGAACAGGCAGGACGGAGAACGGAACTATCACCATGACTCTTTCACACATGTACGAAAAAAAACACATGCACGCTTCCTTTCGCTCCATTGTTCACACACAGGTAAACACCGATAAAAACAAGAAAGGGCAGCGCTGATGATAACAACAGTAATAATAATAATCATTATCAGAAGGACAGTAATATGGCTGCCAGAGGCTGACAGCTACTTTTTCCCTTATGCATGAATGCGTTTTGTAGATTCTTTATTCTGGGGTCTCTCAGGAACGCTGGTCTTGTCTGGGTGTCGGTTCTAGATGGTGCTAGTCTCGGCTCACTTTCTAGAACTGTTCTGCCAGCAGCTCACAAAGACGCTTGGACACAGTGTCCTTACTGCTGCGCACGGTTAACCGGTACATCTGAGAGAGAGAGAGAAAGAGAGAGAGAGAGAGAATAAAGAGCGTTACACAATATAAACGGAAACACAAACAACTGAGAAAGACAAATCAATTGTGCAGATAGACGCTCATTCTGCTGTCCGAATGCGTGTCTGATCCTTACTGCCGATACAGAGAGACTAAATGTAAACTTGCAAAATGGACAAAGGAAACTCCATAGATACAAAGAGAAGGATACTGCTGTCACGCCAAATCAACTGGGTTTTACTACCAGACATGGAGTGAATCACAAAAGCGGGAGGGAGGACGGGAGGTGGTTTGAGTTGGAAGGGGTGGCAGGATGAATGCTTTACCTGCTCCCCAGACTTGAGTTGCATCAGCAGGCACAGAGACACACAGACAACAGTAAGATGCAATAAAACTGACTTGGTGAGAAGTCTGTGCTCCATAGCAGCAGGGAGGGACTTTTGATGCTCGTGGCATTTCTTTGTTTTCCTTTGCTTTTGATTGTGTAATATGGATACGTTTGCTTAAAACGATTGTCTGTTCATACCTGAGCTTGTGCGTTGGGCTCGAGTCTTAGCAGAGAACCCACTTGCTGGGCCTTGCTTTGGATCACTCCGGCACACACAAAGTTCTCTGGGTTCGGATCCACATTCTCCAAGAGAGCCATGCCCAATCCCAGTAACTATGAGACAGATGGGTGAATAAGATCAAAAAATCAAATTTAGTGGGCTCATCTGTACATAAATTCTACAGGAATGACATCCCCCCTCTAAATTGAATGGCTATAATTAAAGTTATTCTTCTAATTAAAACGTTCTGGCATACTAATCTTACTATTCCAGCATAGGGATGTTGCAAAATACAGGCATCAGCGATTACCAATACATTTAAACAATGAAATATCATGTTAATATTGCACCTTAAGACTGGTTGCCACCTGTTGTAAAACAGATGGAAAACACAATGATGCAGCACTTAGCTACTACGGTCACAAAATCATGTCAGAGATGACAGAAAAAGACAGTTTACTCATACCCGTTTGTTCGCCAGTGTAGGAGTTTTTTGGATTCTGTAAAATTAGACATGCCAGTCTGCAGGAAGAGTTCTTTTAGTAAGGATTTGTTATAGTATAGGATTTGTTGTTATTTCTTCCTCTGCACCCCTGCACTCATATTCTGAGCGTGATTCATTGGCCAAAAAGAGAAAAATCACCTGATAACCAGATAATTTACAACATATTTCAAAATGTGTAGCATATGTTTTTACATCAACGAAAGCTGGTGTACAGATGTTACAGCGTTAAAGAAGATGTGTTGTTCCGATCTAGAAGCGCTTTTCATTATCTGTAAGACGTTCTATTCACTCGTTCATTCTCGTGAGTTTACATTCCTCCGCAAACGCACGTGAGCTCAGCTTTACAGAAACTCGCTGATCAGATCACAGAGACAGAGCAACAACACCCGGACTCTGTTTTAATCATATCAGTTTCTGTGAAGACATGTGCATCCCTACCAGGACTCATTTAACATTCAATAATGATAAGCCATGGTTTACAGCAAAACTTCGTCATCTTCGTCAGGCCAAAGAGGACACCTACAAAAGGGGGGACAGAGTTTTGTACAATCAGGCCAGAAACACACTGAATAAGGAAATTAGAGTGGCCAAGAGGAACTACGCTAAAAAGCTATTCAGGTTCCTGGGCACCACCATCTCTCAGGACCTGAAGTGGGACACTCACATTGACTCCACTGTTAAAAAGGCCCAGCAGAGGTTGTACTTCCTTCGCCAGCTGAGGAAATTCAACCTGCCACAGGAGCTGCTGAAACAGTTCTACTCAGCCGTCATCGAGTCTGTTCTGTGCACTTCAATAACTGTCTGGTTTGGTTCAGCTACAAAATCAGACATCAGAAGACTACAGAGAACGGTTCGGACTGCTGAAAGGATTATTGGTGCCCGCCTACCCTCCAAGAACTGTATACATCCAGAGAGAGGAAAAGGGCTCAGAAAATCACTCTGGATCCATCACATCCAAGCCATCTCCTTTTTGAACTTTTGCCATCTGGTCGGCATTACAGAGCACCGAATACCAGGACAGCCAGGCACAAGAACCGTTTCTTTCCCCAGGCAAGCTACCTCATGAACAGTTAATGTTCTCCCATAGTGCAATTGAAGTATGTGCAATAACCTTATACTTATTTATCACCCTAAATCCTAGTACATACCTACAACTTTATTTTATTTTATTCTATTCCTATTCTATCTATAGCACACCTGTACATACAATTTATTCTTTTTTTGTGGTTTATATTTATGCATTTTATTTACATCTTATTTTTATTATCTCTGTGTTGTTGTTGTCTCCGTGTACTGGAAAGCTTGTGACACTATAACAAATTCCTTGTATGTGCAAACAGACTTGGCAATAAAGCTCTTTCTGATTCTGATATAGTGCAAAATATACTGGGATATGTATCCCACAATGCAATGCACTCGACTTGATCATCTATTTTCCTGTGAAGAACGAACCTAAATGAATATAGCCTTTATCTATTCTTGACTCACCGTTCTGATAACTGGACACTGAATTAAACAATAAATGTGATAATGTCTTGTGACAATTTTGCATACTACTGTTTGAAAATGCTTACTGTTTTACCTGCTATTAAATAAACAGAAGCCAGTGTACAGTATATAGTATAGTGTACAGTACACAGCAGGCTAGTATGGCATTGCAAAGTCGGTATGAGGTTGTGTAAACCCACCTTTGCTTTGAGCACTTCGGTGTCCATGGCATGGCTGGCCTTGAAGATCTTCTGTGCTTCTTGCTGAGGCCTGTGAGAAGGGAATTTAGCATGTTTCTCATTCAGAGAACAGTTTTTGATGCATGTATACAGTAATTTGTCTTCTGTGTACACACAAACACTCACTGGCTGAGCTGTTTCCAGCGCTGAAAGAAGTCGTGTG